CAGTTCAAAGGCATCACTCTTCGGCGCTCAGCCTTCTTTATGGTCCAGCTCTCACAGCCATACATTACTACTGGAAAAATACAGGCATACAGGTAGTCCTTGTTTAACAACACTAATTGGGACTGGAAACTTTGTTGTTAAGTGACATGGTCATAAGTCAAAAAGCTACATGACAGTGCCACTTAGCGATGGTAGTTCTGGTTGCTGTTGTTAAACAAGGACCACACAGGTTGTTAAGTGAGGATCTCACGTGACCTCAACTTCTGACTTCCTGCCAGCTTCCCCATTGATTTTGCTTGTGGGAAGCTGGCAGAGAAGACTCTGCAATCGTGACTGCAGGACGCTGCAATGGCTGTAAGTACGAGGTCCAGTTGTAACTACCACTTGTTTAGTGGCATCATAAGTTCGGTTGCTGAACAAGTGGTCACTGAACAAGAACCACCTGTAATTAAATAAAGGGAAGTGCTAGGGCTTTATTGCATACCAGCTTCTCAGTTGCTATAAAGGAATTTAGAGATGGCCTCCGCATGAAAGAACCGTCAAGATAGGATGTGGAGAAGCACTAATACATTCCAGAGGTTGAAACAAGTATAGGAAACTCAGAATAACCACACCTTTTGTTAGGATAAGGGGACAGAAAGAAACTTGGAGAGGCTTTCCAGATAGTTATCATACCCTACTATAATAATGCAGCACTCCTGGAACCCATGCATGGTCTCTCTCTTGATCTGGCCTACCTTGAGGGGCTGAGAGTTGTTTAAAAAGGCTCAAGTGGGACAGGACGGATGCCGAGAGAGGTGTCCACAGACATCATTCTGCCTGTTGTTCCTGTGCTCCTTCTTCCTGAGTCCTAACACCCCAATGTTTTAGCTTCTTACTCATCTGGCACCCTGGACCATTTTCCTCACCTGCCAATTCTTGTTTCCCAAGATGCAGGCACAGGCCGAAGCACCTGCGACCTTTTTTGGCCTCTCCCCCTTTTTGGGGTGGGGGATCTCCATTTTTAATCCCTTCGTGGGGACCCTGGAGTTCGAAAGCTTGGAAAGGTCTCATAAACTTCCAGCTGTCTTAATCAAAGGAATACCTCAATCTGCTTTTCTCTCCCACCCTGCCTCCCTCCACAAGGCAGCTGCTGCGGCTCAGCGGGCCTGGGTGCAGCCAAATACAAGCGTCGCATTCACACAGTATGCCGTGCCCAAACACATTCCCCGTGGGATGGCTTCACTCACGCTAAGTCCGAGTTCCCCAAGGCGCTGAACCCGAAAGGACGCAAGGCCGTTTGCGCCGGGTCTCACGGCGTCGGCCCACCCGGCCGCGGGGCATCGGGGCACCCTCGCCGAGCGAGCCCCGGTGTTCTCAGCTCAGAGGCTGGGCTCCGCGAGCCACGGGGCTACAGCCGGCGCCTCCGCGCCTCGCGCCAGCCCAGCCTTCCCGGCACCGGCATCGAGCGCCCGTGTGAACGCGCAGGCACGTCAGCATCTCCCGGCCCGGAGGCAGAACCGAGCGCGGCTCCCCTCCCGCCCCTGCCCACCGCAGCGGAGCCGGGGGCTGCTTCCGCTGTGCGCAAGCGTGGCCAAGGTAGGGGCGGACCGTTTCCGACGCCCCATCCGCGCGCTGCCTTTCTCCTCCTCGCTCTTCCTCCGGCGCTCGCCTGGCTAACTTTCGGCGGCGGCGGCGGCGGCACCCGATTGCGCCGCGCTCCTCTCCGGTTCCTCTGCTGAGTTGGCGCCGCTGCAGACTGAGGGCTCGCCGGGGCGCCCAGCTGCAGGCTCCAGACCCTCTGCTTGGTAGAAAAGCCCCCGAGCGCAAGCGACCTCCCTCCGCTCGCCTCCGCTCCCGTCCCCAC